TCTTTCCCCCCTAATTGGAAATCCTTGAGTATTTTATAGCTAAGCCTCCAGTAGGAAGTGAGTAACATACTAACCAAGATCTTCTCCTGAGGCGGGAGCTGTTGGTTCCTTTTTGTCTCTCTCTGTTCTCTCTGAGGTGGGTCCGGTAGGCCTGAGTGTTGCCCTCAGGGGTGGGGAAGTTCCTAGGCCTGATGAAATGATCCCTGAAATGTAGAGCCAAAGCGGTCAGGTTTTAGAAGAGCACTGCCCAGTTTCCAATTTATTTATTCAATGCATATTTATTAGGCACTTACCATGTAGCTTGGCACTATATGCCAGGCTTGGAGAGAAAAGACCTGGTATCCTTGATCAAGAGAGACGTGTGAGCCAAATATACTGAATCATTACCAATATTGTGAAAGAACGGGCTAAAGTCACCAAGAGGGCAAGAGGAAGGAACAGTAATATCTATAGGAAAGGTGAAGGGTTTTGTGGAGGTAAAAATGCCTTCACAGAGGATGTGACAATAAAGAAGTGATCAGTGGGAAGTGATCAGCTGTATTTGAATCAGAGGTTGCAAGAAGAACCAAGCCAAGGAAGCATGTAACCATTTGGTATTTTTAATTTGAAGGGTGAGAGCCCACAGTGCTGCTGGGGCCGTGAGAACCAAGAGTGGAGGGCAGTGATGGCAAATCTTGAAGAGCCATGCTCCACCGATTGAAGCATAGTAACCTCCATCTTGGGTAAAAACAGCTGTTCAAAATTTTAACCCTGTTATTCTGGCTTCTGTAAACATTTGCTTGCTTAAATAATAGGGAAAATAAGGCTACTCCCCATTCCAGAGAGGCCATAAAATATGCCCCAGACAGAGTTAGTGCTGACGCCAGGCCAGGCCTTGAGATATGGTCTCAAGGCCCTGGCCCAGCAAACAGAACTTTTTCTCAGAAGGTCCGGAAGTCTCATTCCAAATTTGGAGACAAAGAGCTGAAAAACATATAAATTGAAAAGACTTCCACTATAGTGGGCCCCAGAATTTGAGAAGCAAGTGTTCCTCTGGGCCTGCTAGTGCTAGTGAAAATGATCAGGACTCCAAATAAATTTGGCTTATTGATTAAGGCATCTTCAGATTTACAATATAACAGGATCTGCACATTATTTTTAGGCAGCAAGGAACCACTGAAAGACTTTCAACAGGGAAACAACCAGATCAGATGAGAAGAGGATGAATAGTTAGGCTGCAAGGCTGGTGGCAGAGAGAGAAGAGAGGAGACAAAAGCAGCTGTGTAGGCAGGGGCAGGCGAGGTGAACTGCAGCAGAAGCAGTGAGGCTGGATGGAAGGAAGTAGACATGAGGGATGTCAAGACGATGGCATAGCCTGATTGGGAGGTTAACTGGCAGGCATGGGAGACAGCTGAAGAAGAAGAAAATGATTTTGAAGGTAACATCTGTGATTCTGGCCTAGTAGCCAGAACAGAAACACTATAATCCAGTGTCTCCTCCACTAAAAACACTAATCGGTCTCCCAAACCAGATCCACCCCCAGGTCTAGTCCAGTCTGGGTGTTTAAGTAGGGTAGGTTGGGGGCTAGATTGGATTTTATAGTCCTCCTGGGAAAAGGGATTATTCTCAGACAATAAAGAGTCAAGGGCACAGCACTGACCCAAACATCATGGCCCAGCATGAAACCATGGACGAGTCCCTCAGACGGGCTGCTGGAGCAACCCCAGCAGACTCATGCTCCTGGTCATGGTGGGACCAGGCCACAGAGAGAGGGTGAGCAAAAACTAACAGAAGTTGCACACAGCCCGCACGTTTACTTTGGCAAGGGGAGGGGGACTCTGAGGCCTCAGCAGGTCTGGATATAGGGGGCAAGTGGAGCATCTACACGGTAGCCTCAGAGGGTGCTCGCAGGCACCCAGAACAGTTTGCTGATTCCTGAATTCAGGATGCACTTTCTGTAATCAGGCCAAAATTGTACAACTGCTCTTCTTGTGTTTGGCTCCTCCATGGAGCCATTTCCTTTGAGTGAGAGGTGGATAGTACGAGGGGGATGAGGTGGGGAACCAGAGTTAATCTCAGAAATGGAATGTGTTTGTCGTTCTTCTTCAGGTGGGTTCCCAAGTTTTCTGTGGGGACACTCAGGCATCACTTTCAGTCTGACTCATCCAATTTGACCCCAGGCTACAGGAGAACCAGATGTCTTCACTGCAGCCTTGCCTCTGGGCCTTGACTCAGGAAGGCACCAAAAACGTGCGTGAGGAGCTGAGCCCTCCTTCAGCTCATGGGAAAATGATGGAGTCCACTGTGCACGGGATACATCAGAAAAGCTTCTCTATCACCACACCCTACTTTTGTCCCGGGAAAAGAGTGACATCTATTCCCCTTCATGTAACCCCCTCACTCTTTCATCATTCACAGCCGTCTAACATTTTTATCCTGCTTCCACCTAGAAAATATTTAGGAAGTAGAGATAGCGGAGAGGGGAAGGAAAGATGGGGAACATGCTGTGATTTGCTGGCAAGTCCAGTCAAAGAGAAATGAGGTAAAGCTTTGCTCTGAACCAGGTCAATTTTCACTAATTCTTAATTTCATCCATTTATTCAGTCAGTGTGAACTTATCAAATATCCTCTAGGTGCCACATACCAGATTTGGTTCTGGGCATTCAGAGAAAATGTGCCAAGGACTCTGTTCCCACAGAACTCCTGGTCTAGTAGGGGAAGATAAGTGTGTAAACGAACAGGTATAAACCAATTTGATCTTTGCTCTGACAGAGGTGTGTATCAAGGACAAGTAGAACAGAGAAGCAATGCTAAGACTACTTTGGAAGATAGAAAAGGCTCTTCTTTAAGAAAAGAGTGAAGTGTGAGCATCCCAGGTGACTTGGAGGGGCCCTTCCATGGGAAGGAGATAACAGATGCGAAGGCATAGAGGTGAGAGGCAGCTCGACTTCGAAATTATACCCCTGCCTTGTTGCTCGGCCTAGAGCTGCTAATATTTTAGTCGCTACTCTTTCCTCCGCTACCTAATACTGGAGCCAGCATAAAGGCTGGTGGACAGGGGAGCTTTCAACAAGATGTGTGGGATTTCATTTCAGAAGATAGAATGATAAGCTGATGACAGGGCCTCACATTTTCTGTTACCACTGGTGGGTTGGTAACATTCAACATCTTGTCCCAAATAATCCATCCCTGGAAGGGCCTGAGTCAGCTTCTCTCTTGGCTCCAAGCAGACACATTGGCTGGGATGCTCAATGAGGGTTTCTTTCAACCTACCCATCCAGAATCAGAATATGAGTCCTGAAAGCTATGCCTTGGGCCAACCCAGGCACCATCACACACACCAAGGGCTTGTCCGTTGCCTGGGCTAGTATACAAGGAGGGCTGTGGTTGGCTAGTACAACTGAAGTCATGGGGAGAGAAGGGATGCATATGACTGACGTACCTGCACTTCCTGGCTTGCCAGTGACATTATTTGGTGGCAATGGTTTTCTTCGAGGGGGCGTAGGTCTAGGAGGCAAGGGTGGGCGGCGAGTGCCTGGAATTGTGGCTAAGAGATTATATTACAGATAAAGTTGTCATAACGGTTCACTCTATAAAAATCACAGGTTTTAAAAAATTATAACATTTGATATGTAGTAATTGAATGGCATAGATTCTATAGGAAAGTGCTAAGTAATTTCTGATATTTTTCTAAAGTAATGATTGTAATGTATTCAGGAATAATGAAGAAGCACATTAGTATATGAAAACATCTTCTAGTTATAGATAAACATGTATAGGTATACCTGCCTCTTGAAAGACTGTATAAATGTATAGAATTTAACACCTTTAGTTTCTCACATAGCCTCAGCAATAACGTTTTTGAGTTTCATTATCTGCAATTGCCTTTGATTTTGAGGCTACAATTCTTACTGTTTTAGCTTTAAATTGTTAAAGCATATAATTTTGTGTTAGTGGGTGATCCACCTCACCCCCAAACTCCATTATCCTATATAATAAAAGGCTAATATGCAAATTGCCCCCTCCACTGGGAGTTTGACCAGGGGGCAGGGCCAGCTGGCCAACCGCCCATGGCCCCTCCTGGCCTGCCTGGCCGATTGGCTCCAGGGTGGGCCCGCTGGACCCCACCCGTGCATGAATTTGTGCACCGGGCCTCTAGTGTAATTAGAATGAAATGAACACTTTCAGAACTTAAATCATTACAACCAAGGAGCCTTGATGGCAGAAGCTATAAACCCATAGCGAGCAGGGTCATTGTCAGTGGTCGTGCAGCGCACAAGGGCAGCTGAGCAGAGGTGTGTAAGTGGGAACCAAAGTTTAACACCCACTCTGCTCATCCACCCACAAGCCCTGGTACAAAGCTGCCAGCCCAGAGGAAGGATACGTTTTTGTAAATGGTTTACCTAAAGGATGGAGGGAAGAGGCAACATTTAAAAATTGCACAAGGTGTCTACTTTGCACTAAGGCTGGTAAGGGAAGGGGTGCCTGGAGCAGTCTACCATAACCCAAATTTTAAGTCTGTGTTATAGCTTTCTTTGCATAATATATGTTGGTTTAAAAATCTTCATATACAGCCCGGTGTGGCTCAGTGATCAAACCTTGAACCAGGAAGTCACAGTTCGATTCCAGATCAGGGCACATGCCTGGCTTGATCCCCAGTAGGGGGTGTGCAGGAGGCAGCCCACTGATGATTCTCTCTCATCATTGATGTTTCTATCGCTCCCTCCCTCTCTCTTTAAATCAATTAAAAAAATTAATTTTTTTAAACTTCATGTACAACTGACAATCCAGGAAAATGCCCTGTGTCTTTAAGTTTTTGGGAGACTAAAAAGTACGTGTGCATGTGCGGGCATGTGTGCAGGGAGTGAGCGGTGCTGACAGAATTTAGATCTGTAGCCCCAACATTAATGCACTAGAGTAGGTTTCACAGTATCCTTTCAAAAAGCACAGAGTTCTTATTCAATGCCAAGAGTTTCCAAGTCACCAGCTACATAATTTGGGCCTCAAATATAGAACACAGTCGTAAATTAGAAACATAAATCATTTCAGGCAAAAGGATACTGTAATAAATTACACAAGAGCAAAACTTGAACATGAGGAGGACTAGAACCCACAGTGACTCACCCGCATTTGTGCATTATGGCCCTTCAGAACATTATAAAAAGTAATTATTCAATTGCTACTCATTAGAGGTTCTTATTAATGTTTAATTTGTACACAGAGCATTTTCATTCTCCCAAACATAAGATTCTTAAATGCTTTCCTAGTAATCCCCATGTGCTGCTAGCATGGCTCTGATGCTCTAGAGCAGTGGTTCTCAACCTGTGGGTCGCGACCCCTTTGGCAGTCAAATGACCCTTTCACAGGGGTCGCCTAAGACCATCCTGCATATCAGATATTTACATGATGATTCATAACAGTAGTAACATTACAGTTATGAAGTAGCAACGAAAATAATGTTATGGTTGGGTCACAACATGAGGAACTGTATTTAAAGGGCCAGAAGGTTGAAAACCACTGCTCTAGATGCCATGAGGATACTGATGCTTTCGCTGCAACAAATGATACTGCAGCTACTGCTCACAGTCCAGCACAGAGCTGAGTAAGGGTGAAGTCAGCATCCTATCCCTTACCTGGTTTTTTTGTGAAGTGGGTAGAGTCCACGGACGCATTTCTACCAGCACCCGATGGCTTTGGTGGTTGCTTGACTCCTATAAGCAAAGATAAGAAAAGGGAATAAATAAATATATAGCAAAAATGTGTTAAATGTTCTTATTAACAGAAACTTGGTAGAGTCTCAGTGATAACATGCATTCTTTATATTTATTTTATTTATTTTTTGTTAATCCTTGCCCACGGATATTTTTCCATTGATTTTTAGGGAGAGTGGAAAAGAGAGAGGGAAAGACAGAGAGAAACATTGATGTGAGAGGAACACATCTATTGGTTTCCTCCAGCATGAGCTCTGACCAGGGCCTGGGCCGGGGCAGAGTCTGTAACCGAGGTATGTGCCCTTGACTGGAATTGAACCCTGGACCTTTTGATCCGCAGGCTGACGCTCTATCCACTGAGCAAAACCAGCTAGGGCATCACATGCATTCTTTACAGAGCAGGGACATGGTGATTTAGGGCCAGGCATTTTAATTGGCTTCTCCCATCTTCATATAGAAGAAATTCAAAGGGCTACCTTCACTGGTTGTGATATTTTCTCTGAAGAGTTAATGCTTGATTGTGGGCTGTGATTTCTGTCTCGATTTTCCATGTTGTCTGCACAGCCTTCCTGGGTGGTACTGCCTCACCAGGAGGATCTCATCTACAGTAATAGGCCATTCTTTTCCAACATTCATGGACACATTTTGTGGTTTTGAAAAAATTTCCTCCAACCGTTCTATCCTCATAAAAAAAACCCCTTAAAATTCCAATGTGTTTGGGTTTATACTTAATGGATTGACTTAAAATATTTCTGGAGAGGACTTGGCTATCAGACTGGGTAGGCCACAAACTGGATCTGTGCCTTTGAGATTTGTAAATTAATCCGGGCAGGCCTAGTACTCCAAATTGCTATTTGAAAGAAACTGATCTGAAAATTACTTTGTGTGATATTTGAACTCCTAAACTTCTCAAACACAATCTGGTGGTTATTACTCAGCCATTTATCTAAATACCCAGGCCCAGAGTTTAGGTTTCATTCTTTTAAAATTATTATTATTATTATTTTCTTTTAAAAACCAATAGTTTATTGATTTTTATTGAGAGAGGAAGGGAGAAGAGAGAAACATCGGTGTGAGAGCATAACATCAATTGCATGGCCCCCACTGGGGATCGAGCCTGCAAACCGGGCATGCCTTGACCTGGAATCAAACCAGCAACCTTTTGGGTGCACAGGAAGACACCCAACCAACTGAGCCACACAGGCCAGAGCTATTATTCATTTACATTATAAAATAATCTTCCCTGACATGGCTGACAGTCTTCACTAAAAAAGGCTAGAAACATATTTTTAGATTTAAAAGGTAAGTATCACGTTAGATATAATGATTCATCCTAAAAGAAGATTAGAATACTCTCAGGATTCTACAATAATTCGCATACTATAAAATAAGAATATTTAATTAACATACTAGTTAGTACATTAACAATGACAAACACAACCAAAATCATAAATTAAATATACAACTTTGATTGCCAAAAATTAGATGATATTCTTCCATTAACTTATGATATTCTTCCATTAACTTCTATAACATACTGCTATAGAAATTAACATAATTGGTATTAATGTTATAATTATTAACATTATATACCAGCATTATTATAATTTTTAACATTATAATAATGATTAACATTAATTTACGAACCCAAACATTATAATTCATACTCTCTGCTGCTTGAATAAAAGATAATATATGAAATATTAGTGAAAGCTTATATGGAGTCACGAATTAATTATTGCTAATTTGCGATAGGAAAAAAATGTTTCTGGGGTCAATGACTGCTTTGTGGCTAACCCTACAGGCACGGTGGAAACAAATGGCTCATTAGTTTTCATCCTGTGCCCCGCTGTCAGCAGTAATGGGCCAGGGAAATGACTCATGTGGGTGGTTGCTCTGGGCAAGGCATAGGGAAATGGAAAACACTTCCATCTGTGTCACTGGGATGACCTGGCTCGGTGAGATTTGATTTACCACTATTGTTCAGGGTAAAATATGTATCATATACTGTGGAAGGCTAGTAGGCCATGTGTGCCTTCATTATACTTCCTCATAGCCTTTCTCCAAAATTTTCTACCCTTAAAAAAACCCCACCAAAGTGTTTTGATTTGATGCTGTGCAAGTACTTTACGTGGTCATTACCTGATTTGATCCTTCTAAACCTTCTGGGTGGGAGATATCACCCAGGTCCCACAGAGGAGGAAACCCAAGGCAAGGGGAGACTAAGCAGATGCCCAAGGACTCACAGCTAGAAGTGGTGGGATTCAGATCCACATGTGCCTGGCTCCTAAGCTGATCTAAGTCCTACGTGGGATAGTACAGAATACTATCTTCCTCTTGTCTTTTTCATTTTTCTCTTATTCCTTATAATGACTCTAAGTGACTTCAGCCCTAGAGTTTTAAAGGCCCACCACTGTGTGAGGGCCACTTGGTCAGGACAGGCTTGCATGTACCATCCAGCCATGCCACTGGTGTGTGGGACTCAGGAAAATGTAATACAAGGCTGGTGGCAGATACCACCATGCACATGCCATATCTACCAGCCATGGGCTGCTGAACTGGAGAGCTAGGAGAGAATCCAAAATTCTGCAGGATTACTTTATGAGTAAGACCACAGATATAAACTGGTTTCTTTTCTAAGTAAGGCAGCAATCAGCAGAAACCAGCCATTTCCTACCACTTTCTGTAAAGGTAGAGACAGAGCATCATATTGTTACAATTCTTAAATGTAAATACTCAAATCAATAAAGTGTCAGCTGATAAGCTGGGCTTCAGCTAGCCTATAAAACACATAAAAGCTAGTGGTAGATGAAACCATTGGCAAATTTCTGTGAAAGCAGCCAGGGCTCAGGG